CTACTTCCGCATGAGAATTATTTTTTTGTTTTATCGAATTTCCTAATACTGAATTTAGATAATTATTTTTCTAAATATATTTTTTTTACTCAATAAAAAATATTTATTTTATGTTTAGATATAATTTTTTGGCCTACTTAACATCTGTTTTAATAAAATAGATGGTCAGAATATGTGCATTTATATATTTGAGGGTGACAGATTCTATAAGTGAAGACTTGACAAAATCAGTTTCTAGTTTCTACGGATGAATTTTAACAATCCGTGTTTTTGATTGGGCCTCATGAAGCTCTAGAACCATACATATTTACAAATTTTTTTTGTTGAAATGTAATACAAGTGTTAATCAACAAAAAAAAAAACTATACAACGTAAATAACACATCAAGTAAATATTATCTTATTAGGGTTTGATTGGTGATTTCATTTAAATAAGGTAATTAGAAAATTGTGAGCAGTTGTAGCAAAAGTGGTTAGAAAAGAGGTCATTAGAGATAGATGTTAGAAAATATGGTTTTATAGCAGAAAGCGGTTGAAAATTAAGTTTGATTGATAATATTACAGTAGTTGAATAGTGTAAATGTATAAAATTATTAGTACAATATTTTTTAGATAATAATTTATAAAATGATACAATAATACATAGTTTAAAATTTATTATATGACAAAGTTTTAGATAAATTTTAAAAGCACAATTGGTTTTTTTATTCTTTATGTACAATTATTTTGAAAGAAGTTAAAAGTAACAAATTTTAGATTTTTTTTTTAAAATATGATAAGTGTTAGTAATTTAAAATGCATAACCATTATCTCATAAAATCGTCCATATACTTATTCTCATAATTTATAGTTAATAATCTATAAGACAATTAAAAAAATATGCACAATCAATGTCTGATCTTTTTGTGGATTGGCTTAAATATACAAATATATTTATTTTCTGATTTTTTTGTTTTGTCAAGTGAATTGAATTGACACAAAAAAAACTGACATACCCATATACTTACAAAGAAAAAACAAATAATTTTACTAATTTATTATTAAAAATTAATATCAAACCACAAATTTCATTATTAAAAAATGTTTCTGATTACAACCGCTCGTTTGCTCCAAATGCCATGTTTTCTACAGTTTTAACTACCTGAATATTAACTCATTCGCCCGAATCATCTTTCAACCGCCCGTTTCAAACGCTGAGTACAACCATAGTTTCAAACGCTTTTTGCAACCGATCTTGCTTACTGATAGCACTTTTTCAACCGTGCATTTAATGCTACCGATCAGACCCTTAAATATACATAATAATAATAATAATGGTAGAGAGTATGCGTCAATTCAACTTACACATTGTTATATAAATCAAGTAGTGATAGAATGCAAGTTTCAGAATGATGTCACTGAAGAGTAGATTAAAGGAGTTGAACACAATAAGTATTGCACTTTTACAACAACCACTTGGGGGATGGAAAGAAAACAAGTCAAAAGAACCCTAAAAAGATTACATCTTCTACTAAACCCTAAACCTTTTTTAGTGAGAGATCTCTGTTTAACTGTTTAAGGAAACAATTAAAATCTGAAGAAAACACATTAAACTCTAAAGAATCTGAAGGCACTAAAAAAAGGAAAGGTAGCAGCAACTCAAAGATCAAGAACCATCGGTGTTTCGGATTCACTCACTCAATCATCATCAGCTTAGAACCTCGGTGTCAGATTCGCTATGGCCTCCATATTCTTCATCATCTTCACCTTCTAAATCCTCTTCATCTTCTTCCCCATCTTCTCCTGGGAGGGAAGAGAAGAGATCCTTGATATGGTTAGCCGTGTTACTTGTGTAGTAACCATGGCTTGGCTCATGCGAAAAGGAAACAGGTGGTGCAGATACAGGTGGTGCCTGAATCACAACAGGCTTGTTGATACCGTATCTAGCCTTTGGTTCTTCAGCTGAGCCACCAAATGAGATATTAGAAGTTTGTGTCGTTGTTGGGACACCGAGTCTTTCCCTTCTTTGCTTCTTTATCTGCTGCTGCTGAGATTCCTCCTGACCCGCTATAAAAGTCCCTACCATCACCTGAGAAACACATAAACAACAATGCTTAAAAACAAGAAACATATCTAGTCCAATAGAGAAGATCAAACATCTCATGTTCTAAGTTATTATTACCTGAACAGGACCAGCGGCTATGAAGAGACCAGCGAGTCCTCCACCAAAGACACGACCATCTGGTCCTGCAAGAGACACACTCATCCCTCCAGCTCTGCTTCTGGTTCCTCCACTCTCGCTTGGTATAAATGAACCCGTCAAAGAAAGAATCTCAAAATGACCCTGACCACAAGTTTGTTAACTAAATTTAGTAAAAAAAAAGAAAAACTTGCAAGAAATCAAAGAGCGAGAAAGAGAGAGAGAGAGAGAGTAGACCTCATGAGTGAGAGTACCACCAGATGTCATAGATTGACGAAGGGTAACATTGGAAATGGGACCATTAGCTGAAAGAATGCATATAGCACGAGAGCCTTGTTGAGAAAATGTCATGATCTTCATCGTCACATCCTGTTTAAGGAATCCATAAGGCCAAATAGAGTTAAAAAAATCTTGGGAACTTGATCTAGATCAATAAGCTCGGTGATTCAAATTTCCTCACAAAAATTTACAAGTAAAGAGAATTCTCAGAGGACATACCTCACCGGTGTTTACTGTGAGCACATGAGGCGTAAAACCTGCAGTGGCAACATCTGCAGTTCCTACAACTGCAAAGTTAAATATCAAATGAATCAGGAATTACAATTAATGTAACAAAATCAACATAAAACTTAGAAAAAGAGCAGTTTTTTGATGAAATCTTGAGTTTGTTACTTCCCAAATAAGCAAATTGCTGAAACCAAAAACAGCAAACAGTCCAAGTCAAATCATTATGCAACACGCAGCTTAATCATCGTGCTTCTATCACTCTCGTTAAAGGATCCTACTAGTTTCACTAAATTGCATTCTTATTTCTCTTCTGTGCAATTATACCTTTGGAATTGACCCTTTTCACACAATACAGTTTACTGAACAGAATGTCATATTCCAGACCAAAACATTCACTAGCTTTAAAAGACAATTACACTTGTCCTTATTCCAACTTTTTCTATTTGCAAAGTCAAACCAAAGACAAAGAGATCCAATATAGGCATAAGATCCATCAAAAGACATGTCTTGATTCTTACAGAGACCAAAATGTAAAAGATAAATGACATTTACCAGGAGGATTGTTGTCGAATTGGAACACTTGAGGATTCTTGAGCCAATTGTTGTTGTTGTTGTTGTTGTTGTTGTTGTGACTGGTCTCTCCTCGACCTCGTCCTCTACCTCTTCCCCTTCCTCGGCCTCTCCCACGTTTCCGGGAAGCAAAATCCGTCGCCAACGGAACGGAAGAGGAGATTGGCATCGGAGAGAGAGTAACGGCGAGTGTGCCATCTGGATTATACTTTCTTGGTCTCCCTCTCTTCTTCTTCAGCTGCTCAGAAGCCGAATTCTCCACCTGCATTGTTATGCTGAAAGGAGGAGCAGCAGCATTCTCAGGCGGTTTAGTAGATGCGGCGGCGGCGCCGGTGGTGGTGGTGGTGGTAGTAGTGGTGGTTAATCCCACCGGAAAAGGATTAGGGTTTTCAGACCGTGGTGGGTCCATGTGGTAACCAGGAGGAGGAGGAAGAGCAGCTTCATGTTGTTGTTGTTTCAGACCAAAACAACTGCTTGTGTTGTTGTTGTTGTGGGTTCCTTCTCTCTCCTCCATTAGAAGATTCTCTGTAAGTAGAGATTCCGACAATTAAGGAGAACACTCCGAATCTTGCTGATCACGACAGATTCAAGCTTCACTTAAAAGTACAGACAAGAGAGAGAGAGAATAAAGATCCAGAGGACGTAAGATTCAGAGAGAGTAAAAATAAAAGGGGGAAAAGAGAAAGATGAAGTCTTGCAAAGTGAAAATGAGTAAACTTTAGTGAAGAGAAAATATTAGAGCTGCTTCAATGGCGGAACTTTAATTTCAGAAGAATTTCCCCTAAAACACCCATAATTACCAGGGGAAAAAGAAAGGGGTTTTTTTTTTTTCTTCTCTACAGGTGGGTTAAGTTTAGGGAGAATTTTTTTTCTTTATAGATTGTGAGAAATTAGGGTTTTTGAGAAGAAAATGGAAAGAGAAATAAATAGTTGAAAAAATAATGTAAAAAAGAAATAAATCAAAGGGAGCGGATATTATTATTACACTACGTTTTGAATTCTTTTTTAAATAGTAAAAATGAGAAAAAAGGAGAGAGAGAGAAAAACGAGAAAAGAAAAAGTGTAATTCTGGAAAAAAATATTTGTAATAATGTCTTAATTAGAAAAAATTTTAAAAAATTACTGCACTCCTAATAGTCTTGGAATTTGGGATACAGCTAAAGCTAAATTAATTTAATAAAAATGAGTAGGGGACAAGATTTTAAGTAATATACAACTGGACTTTGATTTTGAGATTTCGAACGTATTAAAATGAGAAGGAACAAAAAAGGTATTGACTCATATCTGATTATATTTTACCTGTCATATTGATATTTAATTATTTATATCTACTTGTTTCTTTTTCCAGTCTACACACGTTGTTGACTAGATAACCAGAAATGACTAATTTAGCCTCCTGACTAACAAAAAAACTAACAAAATCTCTGGTCTAATCCCTACTATTAGGAGTGCTGGAGTGGTATGGATAGATATATAGATTTTAGAGTTTATACAACACTAATCAAAACCAAGAAACAACATAGTTCTTATACATAGTTTATACAACACTATTAAAAACCAAGTGACAAACATAGTTTGTATATATAATTCTTGCAGACGTGACAAGATTATCTGCTTCATCATTTGCTTTTCATAGTCATAAACTTATACTGTGTTACGACTATCATCCTATATATAGTCTTAAGTCCCATAACCTAATCCCTTCTTACAACGTAAACCATGAATACAGTTAGAGTCTATTACAATGCTTATAATTATTTGATAATACCAAGTATTAAAATGAAACAAGATTCGTGTGAATTTGGAACTGGGACTATAGAGGTAGATCCCTTGATGATTTGCATCCCATCAGAATTGAGAAGCATCGATCTAATTCCAGTCATGTGCTCTTTAGAGATCCTTGACCCATCTACAAAACAACAAGTGGTGTTAGCTACTTTTGGAATGTTTTCTTCTAGATTTTGCATCTTAAGCTGAAGCTTGCTCCTTTTGTGGAGACCAGAGAGGCAGCCTGAATATCCATCAGAGCTTTGTTTATGACGCCTAGAATTGACCATCACCTTATTCGATATGTTTTATATGGACTGTAGTTTATATTATAAAAACCAATTTCATTTTTACTAATTAGAGGTTGTGGCCCAGCTCTCTTTGTCTTGGTAATTTTCTAATTGAGCTAAAAATACTTTGTTATCACTTTTGCTTTTAACACTTCATTTTGGAGTCAATTCGGGTTTAATGTCAAATCTCTATATTATTATTTGAGTAGACATTTTATAAATGAACCTTTATTTGTAAGATATTACAGAATATTTTACATAAATAAATATTTATTTATAAGATATTACATAAATAAACATTTACTTAGAAGATATTACTTAAACAAACTTTACAAATATAGAAAGCTCAATTAAATATATGGATATAAATCAAAAGTATATTTAATTTCTTTACTTATTAAAATATTAAAATATATTCTATTATTTTAAATAATAATCAATCCATATATATGAAAAAATCAATTTAAACTTTTGCAATATTTTTTCATTTGTATTTTCATTATTATTTAGTATCATTTTCGAAAATCAGTTCAATTATTTATATAAAAAATGAAATTATGTTTTCAAAATTTAAATTATTTTTTTTAACGGGTTGGCCAAAAAATAGTTTAGTAAATTGTGAAATATATTAAGTAGATGGGTTTTTCCATTTTGACAATCCTATATATAATCATTGTTAACACATATTATATAAGTTATTAACTAAAAATGATAGTTTGATCTCTAATAAAATATTCATAATTAAATTTTTATTTTATGAATATATATATATATATATTAGATTTTAATCCATATTGGTATGTATATAAGTATATATATATATTAATATCATATCACTTTCATATTTAAAAAAGCTACTAATAATTAAACCGCATAATAATATATATACATGTAAATATCAGTTGTGTGATATTTATATAGGTATTGTTATCTAACTGACATCAATTTTATTTATTTATATTTTTTGGTAAAAAACATTTGTCACTAATTTAATTTAACAAAAAAATTAAATTAAATTTAAATATAATTAAAAACATTACCCCGCATAATATGCGGGTTAGTTCCTAGTAATCTTATTTATTTGTCGAATAAGAGTTATTAAAATAAACTTAATTTTCGATATTGATTATAAATACTCGCATGTCTCCCAAGAGACATTTATAATAATTGGAAAAAAGATTAACGAAGATGAAAACAATAACTTTGCAGAATTTAGGATAACAATGCGAAGATTTCTTTTTGGTTTTAACCAACCGGTTAAAAGGTTTTCATTAACGGTATCCAATCCATGTAATTTTCCTCTTCAGAGTGAACGTGAGCGTGAACGTGAGCTAGGACGCCATGTCAAATTTTTATTTCGTAACTAGTAAACTTAATAGATTATTGAAAAAGTTGAAAGAAAAAAAAACGACTAATGCAACAAGTAAAATAAGCAACCAATACAAGAAAAATAAACAAAACATAAGTAATAATAAAGAACGAATCTTCCAGCTTAGAATCAAAAGTGGTTTGGAGAAGAAAAAAAAGATCTGATCATCCGCATGTTCTAGTTCGTATAATATCCTCTCAAGATTCATATCGATGCCACTTCAAGTTTGATAAGCGTCTTCTGTTCATACATAATGTTAAAAGAATAAGCAAATACTACAAGAAAAATAAGCAAACTATACAAGAAGAATAAGCAAAACATAAGTTAAAAAAAGAGGAAATTCCCAGCTTATATTTCCGGATATGGACTCTTGCTCTTCAATTGTTGACTCGGTTCTCAACATATATTTAACAATCTCAGGGAGAGCTGCATATTGTTCTTAAGTCAAATTTGCCATAGATTTCAATCTAAAATAAATAAAAAAAAGATTTCAATCTAAATTAATAAAACAATAATTATTAATTGGATTATCCTGTAACATATATAATAATTTGATAATACAATTTTCCATGTTTCAATCTTTCTTGCTTTCTTGCTAAGGACCTCCTTAACGTATATAATGATAATGTGATACTCGTCTACGATCAGACCTGCCGCCCCATTCAAATCCTGGTTATTCATTTTCCTATAAAGAACCTGGCTGACGGCCGCCATGCTGATTAGTAGAGTTACCAAGTCTGAAGTTGTTATTATATCCAATATTTTCTACATTTTTGAACAAATCTACGTTATATTGACTCAAATATTCCACTAACATATTACTTTATCCCATTCAGTCAATATATTTTTACATGTTATGGTTTACAGACAAAAATGTTTTGTATTAAAGCCGCTTTTATCTGGTGATAGTTCATTTTCAACTTTACGATCGTAACAGAACGAGATTGAAATACTAAAAGGCTCTAAATTACAGTTTATAACCGAACTATACAAGAAAGTAAAGCAACATTAAACCAGAGATATAATTAATCTCTAATCATAGTTATGTTTTGTTGTTTAGAGTTACATTACTGCATTACATGGCGGCAATTAGTAGAAACACCGCAACCAGAAGGATGACAAAATTAACCATGACAATTTTTTCAATTTCTGTTTCTAATCTCAAGTTGTTGTTTATATATCCACAATTTTCTTAACTATTCAACGAGTCTACGTTATATTGGGTCTAAATTCCACTGTTAGTGGAAGCTTGTTTTTACAGAGATGGGCATCAAAAAGGTTACCTTTAAGCTTTAAGCTTGTGTGATAGAGTTATAGAACAGTTGTGTAAACGAAGCTCCACTTCATGGAAGATTGACACTACAGACTTTTTGGACTCGAAAGCACTTTTCTTGCTCGTCTAGAAGAAACCAGACATGTAAGAATTCTTGAAAGAAAAAGCCAATCATATAATTGACCTTTTACAAACCAAACCACATCCAATTTGAGTTAAAAAGAAAAAAACAGACTAAAACAAAAAAAGAAGATAAAATCTCAAACGTGGATCAAAGAGTTTTGTAGCATGAAGGCAAGTCTTCGTTCCTCAAAGGAGTACTCAACAACTTCTTCAGGCTTTTCAAGGACCAACTTTGCATTGGTGGTGTTGTTGTTGTTAAGTGGTGTCGCTGCGGTTTGCATCGGGACAGAGACTGTTGCTGGTGTCGATGGGATCGGGATCATCGCTGCTACATTCTTTGGTGTTTGCATCATCATCATCATCATCTTCTTCTCTTCTTCCAAATTCTTGTTCTTGACAGGAGTTGCAAGAAGTTGTTGTGTAGTTGTCGTTGTTGTTGCGATATTGGCCTTTGATGCAACCACAGTGGTCGAAATAGGCGAGAACGGTTTGCGAACCAACGGAGATTGTAACTGTTCACAAGGATTCATCGACTGTTTTCTTGTGGGAAGTCCAGCAACATCAAGCCCTCTTCTTCCTACAAGGACAAATGGAGATTCATTCATCATCATCAATGCAACTAAGAAAGACAATTTAGCTACATTTTGGTCGTTAAGCCTTGAATTTTACCAGTTGATAAAGCTCCATCGTTGTGGCGGTGATCTGCTTTCTTGTTAGGTTTAGGAGTCTGATGCATTCCTGCCCCAAGGGAGAGTCTTCGGTTTGTTGCTGCACCACCGGTTGACATTCTTGGAGCTTTTTTACCACCAAGTGGTTTTGATGGACTCGGTTTTGATCCGTAAAGCGCTTCTTGTTCTGCTATGAGCTGTCCTTGTAGCTTCTTGTGATCCTATTATATGTAGAAAACAGTAAAGAAGGATGATATTTTGTCAAAATTTAAGATGGAAACAAAATAGTAAAGAAGGATGATATTTTGTCAAAATTTAAGATGGAAACAAAATAGTAAAGAAGCGTTTGTACTTACCCGTTGGCGACGGTGCTCTTCCTCTCTTTCCTGTCTGAGTAAGTTATACTCCTCAAGCATAGAAAGTAAACGTATCTAGACACAGAGAAAAAGAGTATTACTTATGGTAAGCGATGACATGATAAGATTTGAAACTAATAAAGAGATTTTATAGAGAAACTCATACACCATCATAGAGAAATTCAATCCCTTTCTCTTGTTCCCAAACTATTGTCTTCGAGGCTAGTGCTTCTACCATTCCTGAATGAAATGAACATGAAAAGATAGAATCTTCATAATCTAGTCAGAGCATAAACATGTATGATGCAGTGATAACAAAGAGTAACTTACCTGGAAGTTTGTTAACAAGATTACGAGCTTTCTCAGCACGTTTGAGAGTAAGATGAGCTCCTCGTCCAGCATTGTATCGGTTATCGTCCTGTAGAGTGGGAAAATAACCAGCAAATATCAGAAAATGCAACACACTTTGTGACGTTTTTTAAAAGGTTTTCTGAGATTGCGACTCTAACCCTGTTGTATTCTTCAAGCCAACTTTCTTCGTCGCAGGCAGATAACCATTTCTCGACCTTCTCAAGTATCTCTTTTCTGCTTAAAGCTTCCTCTTTGATCTTAGAAATGTGTTGCTCAAGATGCTCCAGGACCATTGTGGCATCCACAATACCAGATTCAATCGCCACTATAGTCTGATCAATAGCACTGTCTGACACTGGTAACATGTGGGTTTTCCTACATATGTCCTCTAGCTCCGATCTCTTCTTCAGGACGAGTTCTTTCATTTTGCTTGCCTTTACCTCGTCCAATCGTACAACTTCTGCCTCAACCTGTAAATGGCAATGGAAGTCATGTTATGGTTCACAGACATGGACATCAAAAATTGGTCATAGACTTATAGAACAGCTTACGTATTTAATAAAGTCTTCAGAGAGACTATTGGCTTCAGTTATTTCATGTTCTGATGCAGCTATATTGCAGGTAATATGCTGATACTCCTGCTGCTCTTCTACGGGTGTATCCATCAAATTCCAGAGCTCCAACATGGTTGTTGCTAGATCTTGAAGCTTCATCAGATTCAATAAGTTACTATGAGTAACAACAGCCAACAAAAAAAATCATACATGATTCGCCAAGTAATTTATCATTTACCCTCTGCATTCTCTGTATCTTAACATCCCTCAGCTTTTGAACTGCAGCCCCCAATTTCTCGATCGTATGATCACTTAAGCTTCTTGGTCCTTCTGGGTCACTTAATGTGGGATTCACTTGGCCAACAACATCATTGAAGTCCATTCCAAGTACTGAACAATGTGAATACAGTGAACACAGGTGCTTCCGGATCGTCTCCACGCGATCACTCTGCGTGATTGAAACAACACCACAAAGAGTAAATTAAAATGGTCGCAATAACCAAAGAAGAAAAAGAAGAAGCCAAGTTGTAATCAAATTTCACCTTCTCCTTCTGAAGTGCTTGCAATTGGCAATGTAACTCTTCAAGCTTTCTCATAGACAAGTCAGTCTCATCGATGAGTGGTTTTGAAGGAACATGTTCTCCTTGACCTTTAATATCATTAGTGATATTTTGTATTTCTTCCAGGACAACTACGAATTGGTTCTTTCTTTCAATTTTCCTCTTCTGCATCTCTTCCAGTTCAGGAAGAATCGTCCCAAGCTCTTGTTTCAAGCTCCCAACGCTCTGATCAGACTGACACATACAACAAAAGAAGGTTTAAGGTTGAAAATTGCATAGACATGGATTAAGTTACTGCAACCAAAAGCATTAAGACTCACTTGTCTAATATGCACAGGACGTTCTCCCATTGCAGAACAGATTGCAGCTAGTTCGGCTTCAGCATCAGCTATTGCTTGCCTTAGCTGAGCTCTACATCGATTTGCTTGGTCAACTTTTCTTCTGTATACTTCCAAGCATTCACGTTCAAGCTCAAGCAACATCTTATCTCTCTCAGTTTCCGTTTCTCCAACTTCATCCCAAATAATCTAATTTTCAGAACAAACAAAACAAGATCTCAGGAGGACTTCACTTCACATGAAGAAAATTTGAAGATACAGATCATATGAAAAAGAGGATTTTATATTCCCACCTGGAGTTCGTATAGGAGTGATCCACATGTTGTCTCTACTTGAAGAATCGGATCTTTTTTCGCACTTGCCATTTCGAAATGCTTCTGCCTGTTAAAGGAAACCCTAACATTATCATTATCATTTCCAAAAACAGCAATAAAGGAAACTGGAGATTCCAATCAGCTAATTGAAGAAATAAGCATTCCGATTCCGAGTCAAATCGTTGTTTCAGCTTGAAATCGATTGATACCCAAACTATGTATAATCGAATTTGACATTCGGAAGCAAACAATTCATTAGGGGAAGATTTCGAAGCCGAGATTAAACATGAAGTAAGAGCTCTCAAATACGAAGAGGAGAAATGAGAGAGAAAAATACTTGCCTGAAACTGGAGATTTCTCGAAGACTTTCCAGAACTGATAATTTGGAAACTTTGATCTGTCACACTGATACTGTGCGAGTAAAATTGGACGAAGATCGATCAGATAACCTTCTTCGATTTTCGAGATAGAGAACAAAATTTGAAAACCTAGATCGAAGTTTCTGTGTAGAGAGAGAGAAATGTAGCCGTTAAAAGATGTAAAGGTCGATGAGTGAAGAGAGAGAGATTGAGAAAGAAGATGATGACAAAGAGAGAGATTTCGGAATTTTCTGTCCGTTACCGAAGCAGCTCTTCTAAATTGTTTTAATTGGGTCTTTCCTTTTCGAACTTTTGAATTTCAAAAACTCAGGTCACAATCCAGTGCATCGCGCTTAGAGTAGTAAATTGATCTTAACCGTTAAAATTGTTGACTTCTTATGAACGGTTGATATCAAATCTAAATAATTAATAAAAATATTTAAAAACCGATTGGCTTTCATTGGTAACCTGCGGAATGGCGGAATTGAGTTTTTAAACGCAATTCCGCAAGGTTTTTACCAATTAACAAAAATTTGCGGAATGAAAAAATACACACAGAAACGTAGACTGCGTTTTTGCTTAAAGAAAATATTGTATAAAGGAAAAGTCATTCCACAGTAAAGCGAATAATAAGTAGATAATTTCATTCCGCAAAATTCTTTCCGCCATTCCATCATTCCATCATTCCACCATTCTGCAAGGTTACCAATCAAAGCCATTGTATAGATGCTACACCTCCTACCATCAATTTATATTTGAGAAAAACTACAAGACAAAACATATGATACATATAGTGCAAGTATGGACTTACGGGCCTATTTTTTTATATAAATTTTTTTCGGCCCTGAATTTATTAAAAGTCTTTGTAATCTAATGGTAAGCTAAAAGTCGGTTTTGTTTGGTAGTTGAGACTTTCTCAAGTTTAATTCTTAATTTTGTAAAACTGCCCATTTTTTTTAGCTTGCGGCTAGGGGCTCTGGATACATGAGAACAAAACCAATTGTTTTTGTTCCACGCTACATAGTTTGAAAAAGGTTTTTAAAACATGTCCCTTGGATCCTATGCATGCCGTAGAAGTCAAAGAATTACTTATAATTTAACTATGTTCTTACAACACTAATGAGATGCAGCGGAGCAGATAATGGAGGGAAAGCAGTGATGGAGTCAAGGGAATGGTTTGAGTGCAATACAGAGGAAGCACAAGAGAGCCTTCAATTTAGTGGAATCCTCCACCACAAGTATACTCAAATGCAACATTGATGCAAATGCTTACACTCGACAACAATCATGTCTAGAAGCTGAAGCTACTGCTGGGATATGCCTATATTCTCTTAGAATTAAAAAGTGTAAGTTACATTTGTATGTAAAAAGCAGACCTAGAGCTCAGTGTAATGAGTTTACAAGTAATAACCATATAAATTAGAAGTCCTTATACTCAACTAATCCGTGGTATGAATAAGATCCTCCTCTTCTATGTGTACATATTGATCTCTTTGTTCCTAGAACAAGATGAAGGTCAACTTCGTCCACCCTCCATATCTCTCCTTATAATCTCAAGCACCATCTCATTCCACGTGTCCACCGGCCCTGGCATGCACCAGTGCAAGCAATCCTGTGGCGGAGGCTGACCGTCCGGTCCACGTTTCGTGATCTTTTTGGGGTCAGGACTCCTGTACGGGCCAGGATGACCATCGTGGCGATACCCGAAAGCCTCAGTGATATCCATTAGCTTCAGCTTCTTCGATCTATTCCCGAGTTTATCATCAGCCACAGCTCGTTGAAACCCTGTTGCTTGCTTCTCATGCATTATCTCCGTGAACCCGTTTTTAACCAGCTTCCCTGGAGAAAGCGGCTCTACTTTACCCGTACATGACCCACCGGTGTTCCACGCACCGCCCTCGTAATGGTCAGGCGACCAAGTCCGCAAGATGGTTAGACCCTTGTAGTTTGGGTGTTTAGCTATTGCCTTGAGGATTGTTTCAACAGAGATCCCAAATGCTTCGACGTTGTTCACATTTTCCTGTTTTGATTTGTCAGGCCACCATAACTGTCCTCCAACGATCTCGTCGTTTAAAATGTAGACAGACTGTTTTGCGAACCAGTGACCTGATGAAAGCACAACCACATCGAACTTGGGAAGAGCTTCGATTATGCGCTCATCTGGTTGGTCTAGCTTGAGTTTGGTTACACCTTGTGGAGCAAAACCAAACGGTTCGTTGAACTGATGGACGAGCCAAGATGACCACATCCGAGCTATCATTACTGATGATGACCTAAAATACCATCTCTGCATCTTTCGGTTCCCACGGTTAACCGGAGTTTCCACCTGAAAAAATCAACATAGAAAAGTTAAAATCTTGAAGCAGAAAAGAAGCTCTATATAGATGATGCAAAGAGAAGGAAACACTTGCCTGCCAAAGAAGGCACATCATGGACTCCATCTGATTACGAGCAACAGAATCACCTATAAAAGCTAGTGTCTTGCCCTTCATTAACTCGAGAAATTTCTTGGCATCAAACCGTGGAAGATCACACTGAGACGGTTTCCATCTCCAGTTCTCATAGCCCTTGTCTGGCCTTCCATTGCCCTGGCAGTTTTGCATCTGTGTCAGAAGAGGGCAAGAGTTGTTCGTGTACGACGGTCCCATTGGATCATAAAACCAGTTACCATGATACAGATCACATTCTACAAAAATGGTCAAAAGAAACCAGATAAAAAAGCTTCAGTGAAGGAAACCAAAAGCTAAACTCCTGAGAAGACACATTGGGGAAAATTTGCTTTCAAAAGTAAAACAACAGTTATATATATTTGCCAAATTAGAAAGAGGCTACCTTTATCTAAGTAGTCCAAAGGTTATTAAGATTCCAGAATAATGATCCTAGTGTAATTAAGTCAAATACATCATTAATTAGTAGCATGTTTCTTGTTTCTACAATCCTTGAATTGACATTTATGGCTTATGCCTTGCAATTTGGATACAAGGTAGTTACTTTATATCTAAATCTACAGTTTTTGAGAAACTTAAGCGATCATAAACCAGGGGAAGATGTTACATAAATGGAAACTAGCTACATAAATAGAAACTTCTGTATTAAAAAGTACCTGTTTCAACTGAATCTTGCGTAGCTTCTTCTTCATCCATGGAAATATTTGTAGACCTTCCTGATTTGGTTTCTTCACCTAATCTAGCATCGGTGGATTCATTGGGATCCTCTCTGTCTCGTGTCAATGGCGGTGAGTCTGAGCTAGAATCAAGAGACGGGTTCGAATCAGAAGTACCAATGTCGTCGCTACTATGGTGAAATTCGACATGTTGAGTGGTCTCAGTCCCGTAGAAATACCCAGAAACGGAAGAACCGATTGGATGCGTGAGAAGAAGCAGAGAAGCGAAGATGAAGAAAGAAGCCAATCCACCGATAGCAAATGCAATTGAAGAAACTCTTCGAGGAGAAGCCAAAGTCATGGTGTTTCTGCATACAACCACCTACAAAAACAGAAAATCAATTGAGGATTCTCCGATCTATAGTTTGAGATCGACGGAAATACAAAAAAGGAATCAAAGTAAGCTTACATTTAGAAGAGAGGTGAAATTCAGACGAGGAAGATCTATAAGAAGCTTTTGCTTGGGAGATGAATTAAACTAATCGAGAGGATCTGGGAGTCAGAGAAACGTGGAAAGAAGAACAATGTCTATATATATATATATATATATGTATAACGAAATTTACAAAGAATATTCAAAGATATTTATTAATAAACAACTATTTACAATAACAGAGAGTTTTTAGGAATGAAGATGGAATTAATTCAGCTATGAGAAGTTGACAATCAATCCGCTCTGAAATAAATTACGTACATAGTTTCCTGTAAAACGCCTTAATACAAGATAAATAAAAAGATAGAGGTTGAAAAATGATTTACTAAATTGGCATGAAATTATGTAGATCAATCCAAAAACATCAAAGACAAAATGAAGTTCATCAAACCACTTCCATTGCAAACTTACTAAATTTCTTATGCCATGTCAAATTTTGAGCTCCATAACACATTGGTAAATTTTGAGCTTTAATTTATCCAAAACTATCCGAATCTGAACCAAAAACCCAAAACTTCGATTCAACTTGGCAATAAAACTTAGAAAACCGAATTCATCGAAACCGAATAGTAGTTGTTTTGATTAATTTCAACAAATTTCTAAAAATCCGAAGGAGAACCGAACTGAACCGAAATAAAATTCGTCAACTCACAAGCCTATTATAAAATCCAACCGGGAAATCAATCCGGTTCACGATCGGGTCGGTTCGGGGTTAAAAACATGGACCAAAAACAAAAAAATTAAAACCCGTTTGGGGGTTTAAGAGGATTTGATCTTCAATGTTCATAAAACATTTAGCTCACACATCCCTCCCCCTTATGAGTCCAGGACCCTAATTGCTCAGTCTCTTCCCCAAAGCTCTATTTTAATTTCTTCAGTTCCTTGTGAAAATTCGAATCTCTGAATCCCAAATCCGCTAGAGAAGATGAGTTTCGCTGCCTTCAAAATGATGCATTGGCCTACCGGCGTCGAGAACTGTGCCTCCGGCTACATCACCCACTCCATCTCCGACACAACAACGCAGCAGATTCCGATTGTCTCCGGCGATGACCTTGAAGCCGAGTGGCCTGCTCCTAAGCGCGGAATCGGTGCAGTGCCCAACGTAGTTATAACCGCCGGAAACATCCTTGAGGTGTACGTGGTTAGGGTTCAAGAGGAAGTAAATACTAGTCAGGAGCCGAGGAATCCGAAGCTTGTTAGGCGCGGTGGAGTAATGGAAGGCGTCTCTGGTGTTTCTCTCGAGCTCGTGTGCCATTACAGGTAAGTAAATAACACCAAACTACAATCTGGATTTTTTGTTTTTTGTTGATTTCGAAGTGATGATGTGACTGTGTCCTTGGATTGCAGGTTGCACGGTAACGTTGAGTCACTTGCGGTGCTACCTATGGGAGGCGGAAATTCTTCTAAGGGAAGAGATTCAATCGTATTGACGTTTCGCGACGCTAAGATTTCGGTTCTTGAGTTTGATGATTCGATTCATGGCCTTCGAATGAAGTACGTGAGCGTGTTCTACTTTCGTGTGTTTTAATGTACAAACAAAAACGATTTCGGTGCTAATTTCGATGCTTTTGTGCTCTTTTAGCAATGCAAGTTATGTAGCATTTTAGCAATGCAAGTTATGTAGCATTGGATGCTCTATTGACTTTCACAGCAACTAATGGTTATGTGGTTACTTTTCAGTTCGATGCACTGTTTTGAGGGTCCAGATTGGCTTCATCTCAAAAGAGGAAGAGAGTCTTTTGCAAGAGGCCCCTTGGTAAAAGTGGATCCTCAAGGCAGATGTGGAGGCGTTCTTGTTTACGGTTTGCAGATGATCATACTCAAGGCTTCTCAGGTAGGCATCTTGATCAACTGATCATATTGAGTTTAGTTTGTGAGATGCCAAGCAGAGCTCACCAGATCAAGATGGATTCCCCCTTTCGAACTGTTACTTCATCTGCTAGAATTTTTTAACCTTCGTTCATTTCTCTTTTGAGAGCTCTACAACTTTGGTTTTCAGGCTGGTTTTGGACTAGTTGGAGATGATGATCCGTTCAGTTCTGGAGGGACAGTTTCTGCTCGAGTTGAATCATCTTACATAATTAACTTGCGTGATCTGGAAATGAAACACGTCAAAGATTTTGTTTTTCTACATGGTAGGTTTAGCAAGCAAGGTTTCTGCATGGAGATCCAGCCAATATTTTATTTGTTTTTAGCTCTCATTATATCTCTGAATCAGTAGTTAATCATAATAAATTTTTGATTATTGTATCTCGTCTGTTCAACTTTCCTTTAAAACGGATCTAGCTTACTAAATTGTTGGTTCTAGATGCAATACAGTTGCAAACAACTTGACGATTTCCTCGTTTTTATACATGATGCATTCTGGGCATGGTGACTGATTGAAGCAAGAGAAAATGTATTGTTGATTTGATTTTTTTCGATATCTAAGATGTCTGGACATTTAGATATTCTGGTTTTCCAAATAGGCATAATGTGAATAGACTAAGTGGTGCTTCTTCTTTTGATTATGTGTTCTTTTTGCTTCTTGTGTCTTGTTCAGGTTATATTGAGCCTGTAATTGTCATCCTTCAGGAAGAAGAGCATACTTGGGCTGGGCGAGTTTCATGGAAGCACCATACTTGCATGCTTTCCGCTCTTAGTATCAATACGACATTAAAACAACACCCAGTGATCTGGTCAGCTATTGTATGTTCTTGGTTTTCCTCTTTTATCGTAAAAAGAAATTTCTTCCCAGGAATTTTGCTCTGTTAATCTTTATTGTAAGCTGAGAGCAGAAATTGAAGTCATATGAAAAAGTTATTGTAAATTCATTGTTGTTATATGACTAGGCTTTTCAATAAGCTATTAAGAAATCAGAAACATGCATGCTGACTTATCTTCTTTGTTCTTATTCTAGAATGCTCAAAAGTTTGACTTATCCATCTTTAGAAAAAAAATTTCCTAAAAATAACATGCTAATTTATGCGTACTGGAAAGATTGAACCTACTGAAAAAGTCCTTTCTGCAAACTTTAGTACCTGATCACACTTTTTCCCATTCTTTTGGTATTTTCCAGAATCTGCCCCATGATGCCTACAAACTACTTGCAGTACCATCTCCGATCGGAGGTGTTCTTGTCTTGTGTGCAAATACAATCCATTATCATAGTCAGGTAGGTTGATATCTCTTAGCTTTTGGTTGTCCCCGTTTGTTTTTTTTTCTTTATCGAAGATAAGTTACTTACACACCTGAGGTACCGTATTTTCTTGTAGTCATCCTCCTGTGCTCTGGCACTGAACAGTTATGCCTCCTCTGCTGATAGCAGGTTCAGTTTTCTTGCACACTTAGTCTTCAAAACCTGCTTTTTATTATGGATAAAATCTTGTTGCCTCATTCTTAGTTTAGAATCTTATAGCTTAGAATCAACTCTCAGCAGGTGTAAAGCTCTGTTTATACTGTTAACCATAGTTCTTTTTCCTTGTGTGTCTGCTTTCTTTCAGTCAAGAACTGCCTGCATCGAATTTCAGTGTGGAACTCGATGCTGCCCATGGAACCTGGATATCGAACGATGTGGCCCTATTGTCTACAAAATCTGGGGAGTTGTTGCTGCTGACTCTTATATATGATGGGCGGTAATAGTTTGATCTTCTTTTTTAGATTTCTGCTGAAGCTTGTAAATCTGACTGGAACTTATTTTGTTTATAATATGTGAAACTGACTGCTACTTTCTTTCTTGAAGTGCTGTACAGAGACTTGATCTTGCCAAATCAAAAGCCTCTGTGCTTGCTTCGGTTAGTCAATATGTTCTCTCAGCGTATTTGTGCTTCAATTTGGATACAGTTCGGTTAGAGAATCCCTAAGATGATATTACCAAATTTATTGCAGGACATTACTAGTGTTGGAAATTCCCTTTTCTTTTTAGGTAGCCGGCTGGGAGACAGTTTACTGGTGCAATTTTCCTGTAGAACTGGGCCTGCAGCAACATTGCCTATGTTGAGAGATGAGGTGATAGTTCAATCATTCTTAGGTAACGTTTGAAAAAATGTTTGTCCAGAACTAGAAAATTTTCTTGCTTCATTTTATGCAGGATGAAGACATTGAAGGTGAGGGTCATCAAGCAAAACGTTTGCGGATATCTTCTGATGCTTTTCAAGATACAATTGGAAATGAGGAGCTTTCATTGTTTGGTTCAACACCAAATAACTCCGATTCAGCACAGGTAGCAAGTTCTGCCTTGGCTACTTTTGTAGATTAATTACCAAAGAAGGAGTTTGCCTTTGCAAAAACTGCAGCATGTATTATGTCAACACGAGTTAGATAGCCTATGTTCTCCTTTCCATGAAGTTTCTCATGGTTTCTTTTCCAATAAATGCAGAAATCGTTTTCATTTGCAGTGAGAGATTCACTAGTCAATGTTGGTCCAGTGAAAGATTTTGCGTATGGCTTAAGGATAAATGCTGATGCAAACGCCACTGGGATTTCCAAACAGAGCAACTATGAATTGGTGAGCCGTTTAATTAGTAGTTCTTATATAATACTAGCCGTGGAATTTTTTTATACAAAACATAACATGCTTAGGGCTGTTATTCAGAGACGTCTATTTTTGAAGTATTCTTTTGCTTAACACAATGAAACCCTATGTTCCACAACTTTTAGTGTTGACTTGGTTGTCTCGTATTTGCCTAAAACCTGTAAATTCCTAACTAAATATCTGAATTTTGGCGGCTAGGTGTGTTGTTCTGGTCATGGGAAGAACGGTGCTTTATGTGTTCTTAGGCAGTCAATTAGACCGGAAATGATTACTGAGGTATGCCTATATCCCAAATTGTTTTCTGGTATATGAGAAGAAGGGGAAATGTCCGTTCGTCGATCTTTTAATTTAAACCCTTACTCCCATAACTATGGCATGTACAGAATTTCTTATACCTATCTTTCAATATAGGATGCATTAGTTTGTAGTGAGCCCTGAACAAAAGGCAGTTCTAGGACAGTCTCGCGGGTTTATATCTTTCACAATTACTATCTAGCACTGAAGTATTTATTTGTTTAGTAATGATCCAGAAAAAGAAAAATGAAAATTATTATGTGCAAGTGC